CCGGGCCGCGGCGGCGGCGGCGGGCGGGCTCTGGCGGTGTCACACGCAGCGCAGGCAGGCGCCGCCCCTCCTCCGGGGAGCCGGAGCGAGCCCCGGGGAGGAGCCGGGCCGGGCGGGAGAGGGAGAAAAAGGACTTGAATATTCCGGCTTTTTGAATGAGCCACGTGTTCGAACTACAAATCAGCGCCTCAAGTGAGGGACCCGCGCCTCAAGCAGCGCCGCCGGAAGGCCGCCCGGGTACAAGTCGGGAGCTGGCTAGCGCGGCTGGAGGTGGCCGCGGCCGGGGACTCGCCAGCAATGCAGCGTTTTTAGGGCGCCCGCGCTTGTTCCCCCGGGGCGGGAGAGGGACCGCGGGGCAGGAGCAGGCGGAGGAGGAGGAGGAGGAGGAGGAAGGGGCGAAAACAGATGATAACTCCGGCGGACCTCCCCCGGGCGGCGGTGGCCCGTGCAGGCTGGCGCTGAGGGGAGTCGGGGTGCGGGGACCAGACGCCTGTTCCGGGCCGGGCCGGACCTGGTCTCCGCCTGCGATTTCATGTTTGGTGGCTTTCTGGGCTCTCGCCTGCCATTGGCTGCGCGGGCAGCAGGGCGAGGGAGGCCAGGCGGGGAGGGGAGGGTCTTCCCTGCCGGGAGGGAGCCCCCCGTCCAGCCATGTCTCCTACCCTGGGGCCGAGGCTGGTGGGGACAAGGACAAAGAGGTGGAGGGGCAGCCGCGGGGGCGAGGAAGAAGCGGGAGAGTCCTCGGGGAGGGGGCAACGTGCTCCTGCCTATGGCTCCCACCCGGGGTGTGTGGGGGGGGGAAGGTTGTGTTCTTTCTTTTGAGTCTAGTTTCATGGTGGATCCAAGCCGAGGACACGTGAAGAATGAGCAGCCCCGGCCCGCCTTCCCCGGTCGCACACGCGGGAAGGCTGAGCTGGGTCCCGCCTCCCCCCCCCCCCCCCGGTCCCCCCCGGGGAAGGGGGGGGGGGGGCCCCCCCCCCCCCCCGGTCCCCCCCGGGGAAGGGGGGGGGGGGGCCCCCCCCCCCCCCCGGTCCCCCCCGGGGAAGGGGGGGGGGGGGCCCCCCCCCCCCCCCGGTCCCCCCCGGGGAAGGGGGGGGGGGGGCCCCCCCCCCCCCCCGGTCCCCCCCGGGGAAGGGGGGGGGGGGGCCCCCCCCCCCCCCCGGTCCCCCCCGGGGAAGGGGGGGGGGGGGCCCCCCCCCCCCCCCGGTCCCCCCCGGGGAAGGGGGGGGGGGGGCCCCCCCCCCCCCCCCCCCCCCGGATTTTAAGGGCTCGCTCCTAATTCTCAGCGCTTGTGAGGAGCACAATGGTGGGGCTGTGGGGGGAGGGGTTTGGCTCTGTGGAGCCTTTCCCGGGCAAGCAAAATGTTGCCTGAAGATAAAGAAAGGAGACGGAAATGAAAGGCAGTACTGTATTGCATTTCATATGGCAATCTAGGAGGAGGGAGTTTGTTTTTGCCGTTTTGTTTAATGATTCAATACACTGGAGTAAAAGGCTTCACTTATTCCGTGGCAGAGTCTACTTGCGATCCCTTTTAATAGGTATTCCATGGAAAATAGTGAAGTCCATTAGTTAGCAATGAATGCATTTCCACATGTCCTGCATTTTATGTGGAAATGTGCAGTAAATAGGCATGCCTCAGTTTGTCTGAGGGGGGTTTTTTCCACCTAACTCCTACGAGCTGTATTAGTAAACAGGAGCCATTTAATTTCATTTGAAGAGATACTGTTGATGCATGTTGAGGAGTTCTTTTGTTATGTGTACTTTGGCCGCTGCAGTCTGCATGTGCGGTTACACATGGCTCAGAGACCCCCATGCAACAGGACAGAAAAAGCCATGTGTAACAAAACAGTAGTTGAAGATTTTTACCATAAAGTGCTGTCTGATTCAGGGAGGCATTTCTGAACAGAAGGAGTCCTGAACCAGAGGGGAGACAGTCACCACCAAAGGGGACTGTTGCATTTCAGCAATTGTGAAGAAGCATGCTCTCTTCATAAGCCCGTGCTTCTCGGCTTCATTTATCACCAAAGTAAAAATGATCATTTAAATCCACTGTGTAGTTTGTCATCTTAATTCTTATTGGCCTTCAGTGACAATTACTTTTGCAATTGACAAAATGTGCATTTGTGTTCCCACTGTTTACAACTCGGCCATTGTAGAAAATAAGCAAAAAGGTCCTGGGTGTAGATAGATTTTTTTTTTCCCTTTCATTCAACATGACCAGTTTCCACCCACGTCTGACCTTCTTCTTAAAGGATCTTGTACTTCATATGAGCCTGTAAAATCCACCTGAAACATAACTATTGTGTGTGTTTAGTATGTGCATGAGGGGAACACGCCATCACCACTCCTGGATTTTTAGTCCAAACTGCAGACTGCTTCAGTAGTATTGCTTTGATCTGTACTAACTTGCAATTTAATTTGCATGTGCTCATGTTTACATATGTAGTCTGTACAGCACTGTTCAAATGTTCTCTCATTAAACTGTTAAACTGAGTATATTGTGAATTTGAAGTAATATTCTAGTTGCCCATTCTGTTATGCTGTACATTTAAAGAGAGAGAGTGGGAATTCATACACAAACATGAATCAGTGGTTCAACATCGTAAAAAAATGAAAGTCCGATACTGGGGGAGATAACCCCACAGCCACATTATGCTGAAAGTGTCTTTGTAATGTGGCAAAGAGTTTTGTATAGAACTCCACTATATTATTTTATTTGTAATGTAAAAAGTTGTTTAACAAAATGCTTTAAAAAGTAAATCCAGAACGTTAATGTAAAATTTGGTTTATGCTGTATGACAAAAGGCTACTTTTAATAGCATCTACAAATTTAGTCTGTATCAACGTGGCACTCAGAACACTTGGACAATCATTGTTTTGCTAGGAAACTGTTACAATTTGACATGTAACTGATTTTTTGGTAAGCATCCACACGTTTATAGCTGACTAGATATTTAGCAAAACTTCTTGAGAAAAAAAAATTGATCCAGATTCCCAAATTTTAAAAAGAATTAGCTGTCACCTTTTTGATAGCTTTTAAAAATTCTAAAGCAAAATTTGAGCTTAATCCTTTTGGTTAAATATTTTACCTCAAAATAAGGAAAACATTATAGCCTTATCCTGTTAATTGGTGTGATTTCCTTAGAAAAAAACTTTTTAACTTCAAAATAAGCAAGTGATACCTTTTTATTAGGTTTTAATGACCTTGCAGAAAGCCTAATCGTTAATCTAAAGCTTCCCTCCCAAGTAATGTAATGTTGATGAATAAAACCACTCTAAATAGACTTTCTTCAGGTTTCTAACAAACGTTAGATTGGTAGCTGTTACATTAACCATCAACTGTAAATAAAAATAATCTTTCCACAGAACAAGAATAGTTAAGTGATTTAAAAAAGTATTTTAAGTGAGAATTGTAGTTGAGCAAGTCAATTAGGAGGTCAAATGACTGGTTGATCAGCGTAAGTGATGATTAAGATGGAAAAGGAGGAAGAATGTGTTTATTTTTTCTCCATTACC